TTCTCTGGAAAGAACATATAGACAATATAGTTAAAAAAACAGAAAAGGGAATAAATCTTCTTCGATTCGTGTCACACTTACGATGTGAAGCAAATCCAGATGTTTCTTTGTTATTATTTAAAAATAATATAAGAGCTATAATCGACTATGGATCAATATTATACAGTGACGCATCACAGTGTCATTTAAACAAAATAGACAAAATCGTTAATAAATGCCTTAGATTGTGTATAGGAGCCCTAAGAAGTACACCCATTAGTAACCTACAAGTCGAATGCTGTGAAATGCCAATGCATAGAAGACGAAAAAAACTGGGCATCAGACTTTTAGTTAGATTGTTCAAAAAAAGTCAATTTTAATATTCAAAATACATCAGTTGTTCTTAGCAGACAGAAAAATATTGAATAAAAAAGAAAACTCTAAATATAGTAGATTTCTATTCAAAAATGACAATATATGATAAACAACTATATGAATATGACATAAACCCAAATTACAATATTGACTTTAATACTCTAGAACAAGTTCAGGTATACTTCTTAAGAGACTACAGCAATTTACCTTTATCTTTAAGTAATATTTCTATCTGACAGTTCACAATTGTTCAAAGATTGTTATACACTGTATACAGATGCATCCAAAAGTATCGAAGGTATGGGATGTGCATACTAGAATAACGATAATAAAAACAGTAAAATGTTTAAACTCAATTTCATCATGAGTATATACACAGCTGAATTAATAGCGATAGTGGAAGCACTAAAATATTTATCTAATATAAATCATTCAAAGTTTATAATTTATAGTGACAGCAAAAGTCCTTTAAGTAAAATTAGTGCCATAAATCCTAAATCAAAAGTAAATTACCTTGAATTATATATAATAAATAAAATTAAAGAACTTCAGCAACAAGGCAAAACTGTTAAATTGGCATGAATTAAAAGTCATTGTGGAATCACTGGAAATGAGATAGTAGATGAATTGGCAAAAAACGCTGTGACACAAGGAGTATTAACTCATTATCTTTGTAAGTCTAGAGATATAAAATTAGACATGTTCAAAGAGCTTAAGAAGGAATGGAAAGAAAGGTATATTATTAGAATATAAATACAGGAAACCATTACAGAGCAATCAGAAACCATAATACGGATAAATCTTATTTTGCTAAAATGGAGTCGACAAAAGATATGACAAGAACTATATGCAGAATGTGATTTAACCACTGCCTTACACCATCATATATGTTTAAAATGAATCTAGCTGACAGTCCACAATGTACTTGTGATCAGATGGGTAACCTACAACATAAAATTTTAGACTGTTCTCTTATTTCCAATAAGGTTAATAATATTTTAAATTCGCTGTATTCTTTGACCGATGTCCACCATCCCATTAATTTAAGTTATTTATTACCCTTAGAAAACAATGAGTTTTTATATAGATTATTGTATAAACATGTTTTAGATATTAAACTCAATTTGTAATTGTAAATATAGAGTAAGTATTTCTTTGTAATTTGTTAGAAAAAAAAAAGGAAAAAAAAAGGAAAAAAAAAGAAAAAAAAAAAAAAATAAAAAAAACAGGAACTTGGACAGTCTACAGCAAAGTAGCTATTGAATTAAGTAGATAGCTGCAGAAGAGTTTACTGTGGAACTCTGAGGACCTCATCACTTATTTTATATATAAATAACTAAAAAGCACGTAATAGAAAAAAGACTATATATTAGAGATCAATATTAGTTATAGTAGGATTAGTAGTATTAGTATTAGTAGGAATTTAGGATAATATTGTATAGAAAACAATGACTAATGAAAAAATGAGTACAAATTGTAAGATTGGCGAATGGATTTAGTGTTCGCAGTCATTTAAACACAAACAAACAACAATAAGTTAAAAAAATCCCCTCCAAGATCCGTGACACCTTATCTGTAGTGTAGACGCTCTTTATGCTCTGTTGTGGTTACTACTTTTATGAAGAGAGCTTGTTCGAATGTAAATTGAGAATGACTTAAGTCTGAATTCTAGGCATTACTTAGTTTTTATTAGCCTTCTTCCGGCAATTTGAGCTCCACAGGGAGTGTGGATCCACCCCCTCGATTCTCGTGGGACAAGAAAGGACAAGGGGGAAACAAACAAAATCTCGATGAAGCTGAGCAAGAGTCTGAAAAGGCCGAGCATGCTGACCTAGTGGACGAGCTTGCGCAACGACGGTTTACGTACCTGTTGTAAGGCCTCGATCTCAAAAAGTCTCTACAGCAGGCGCTAAAGCATATATGCTATATGATAGATATATGATATACGATATATGAAATATTATATTCCGCATATCATACTTTTTACTTTACTATTATAGATAATTTTACTTAATAATGACATTTAATCTACTTTTTATAAAAGTGTTTATAATTTTGCGTGTATAAGCGATATTAAATGAAGTAAATTGCTATATAAATTAAAAATAGACCAATAAATATTTATTATATACATGCCTTCTAAAAACATGTATCTTATGTTGTAATATAATATTATATTATATAGGATATTTGATATATGGTATACGATGTCTGATATAAGCTATATGATATACTAGTATTACGTGATATTGCCATTTCTATACCCAATAAAGATTTTGACAAATTCTACCGGCTATAAACGTTTACGCTAACTTACAATACATTTATATTATAATAGTAATTTCATATAGTACTATATCTTTTTAATATAATTTCTTTTATATATTGAGGTTCACTTTCTATGTCTATATATTTGCAACCTGTATTTGATGCATTAACTAAAAATGGAGTTTTGTTTGTTTAAATTAAAAGACATATATTTTAAAATTACCTTTAAATTGCGAAAAGGTTTGTATATGTTGTGCTGTTTTTTTTTCTTTTTTTAAAAAAGCAATGAAATGTTGTTTATATTTATTATTTGCTACCTATATAAAGAATTAAGATGTGTGTTATTTTATTCTATAATTTCTGTATTAAATGGAAAACTTTTCCATCCTAAATTGACTTGAAATATCATTAAATATGTTCAATTAAAAAGAAAATTAAAAGGACTGTTTATACATCTCTATTACTTACATAAAAAATAAAAGGCGTGTTGTTGTCAATTCCCATTTTGTTGTTTTCAAATATGCCCACTGTCTAATGCAGATATTTCACAAAAGTTTCCGTTTTCCGAGTGTCAATACACATGTAAACAATAGGGGAAACCATATTTTTAATGTTACAATTCAGCCCCCACTAGCTGTCTACACTAATCTTTGATAAATACACGGTCCATAGCTCTCGCACATAACATAGTTATTCGTTTGACATACTCGCATGTCTTATTCAAATGCGTATGTTTTACAAACGGGTTCCGAGACTCGCTGTCCTTATTGGAAATGTCTATTACTACGATTTGTATACCGGCTATTTTGCTAAATAAGGGACCACGGATCGAGGTTGAAAAGGGTCTAGGAGGTTTATAAAATCACCGCCGAGGGCGTGTCTGAGCCAACAAAAATCGTTACTATACGCGCAGGAGTTGTGGAATTGGGTGTTACATTTTTATTGTTAGCAGAGCTTCGACTTTATTTTACATTTAAATTTTTATATATATACATTTATATATATATATATATATATATATATATATATATATATATATATATATATATATCAAATATTAAGGTATTCTCTTAAAGTAACCTTTACATATACTTCTATGTCAATTAATCAATGTATATTTTGTATGAAACATACATAATATATATATATATATATATATATATATACGATATATAAGATATATAAGATATATAATTTAAATACAATGGTTTTTAATACAACAACTTAACAACGATGCTATGATATATGATAAATATATTTTACAACTATAAAATCTTGTTTTTGTGTCTCTCATGATTTCACTGCTTGATACACATTCTTCTGCAGCATCATATTATAAGAGACACCATTCGTTTAAATGATGCTTTGGTTAGTGTCGAATATTTTACCCAGTGAAGAAGAGCATGTATCTATAGAGTTCGCATGCTATCTGCGAAGATTATTGTGTTATTAGCATACATAAAATTTTCTCTTAAAATTTAAGGTTGATAAGAAGCTGACACTTTTATTTATCATAACGTTTTCGCTCAGTTAATGTACATTCAGGCCAACAGTCACGGGACGATCAGATCACAGTCAAGTCAAGGGGCAACCCATTCACACACACAGTCCGGGCAGATCACCGTCAGTCTACTTCAGCATTCCGGTCTATTCAAGATGTCTAAGAGAAAAACACTCTACAAAATGGCATTACTTTTGGAAGAAGAAGAAAAAGTGAGGCCTCGTCGAGAGTGGGTACACAAAAATATTTTTATCGAGGAGAGAAGAAGGGGATTTCGCAAAATTGTACCCACAATTAGTGGACGACGAGACAAAATTCGTACAGTACTTTCGCATGTCGCATTGTGATTTTCTTAATTTGCTGTCTCTGATTAAAGACGACATAACGAAAATGGACACTCACTATAGAAGAGCAGTAACTCCAGCCGAAAAGCTTGCTGTAAGTTTGAGGTAAGAAAATAAAATTACGTGAATGATTCAAAATTTTGTATTGTAAAAAAATGTGTAGATAGTTTTCAAAAAAAAGTTTTATACAAAGTTTTCTGGTGAAAAAGCTTCTAAGTAGGAATCTGTAGTTTGATTAGAGCTTGCTGGAGAATACTGGGGTGGCGCATTGTGAACATCTTGGTTATTAAGTTGGCTGTTATTAGTTCGCTGTGAATAGTTGGCTTAGATGTTGGTGAACGTTCGTAACAGACGAAGAGTGTGCCAATTGATTCAAATTAAACTCCTCCAGTTCACTGATTACACTAAAATCTCTTTGTTTAGCCAAAAGTTTATTTCCGGCATTAATTTTTTTTACTGTAGCTTTCATGGTGTCAAAGAAAAGATCAATATCATCTTTTTCTTTTTCATTTTTTTTTCCAAAAGATGTTTCATCAAAACTGCACTAGCACTTTCAACAGCTTGATGCCCTCTACGTTTAGGTTGGATGATTTCCGCATTGGGATCGCAATAGAAGAGTGGTTTGTTTCGTTGGGGTTTTCTAAAGCAAGTTCCTCGCCTATCGCGATATTATCTTCCTCCAGTAGAACTGCATGTCCCTCGTTTTCTGTTGCCACGGAATGATATATTGTCTTGTCCTTCATATATATAGTTAAGAACGACATGTTATCGTAATGTTTCCAAGTTGATGGAGATCCAACTGATTGATCAGTTACTGTTTTTTTTGCGCGAATATATTTTTGGAATTGATTTCGCAAGGACTCCCACCTCAGCTTACATTTGTTAAGATCTAAAAAATAAATAAAAAATAGTTTGACAAATATAGTTATAATTGTATGTTAATGAGTTTTAGTTAATTATTACAATTATTATCTTGCAGATTCCTCGCAACTGCTGATTCTTTCGTAACGCTATCGTATAAATACCGACTTGGACATTCTACTGTGCACTCTATAGTCCATGAAGTATGTGGTACTATAGTTAAAAATTGCTTGCTGTCATCCTGCTGTCTTTAGTCGCGAACGCGCGTCGTTGATGCGCGTCGCCCCGCCTTGCTACCTTTTATACTATTTTCTATTGGCCAAGAGGTCCGAAAATCTCATATAAATATTAAATTGTCTTTAAATATGGGATTATTCGGATCTCACGGCAGTTTTACTCCTACAGGATATGAAGAGAGAATTAATGTCAGCGAAGTCCTTTGCAGAACAGGCAATGGTATTTATGAAGTACGAAGAACTTTATAATGCCAATTAAGCATTTGAAGATTCTACAATACAACATAGCATCTCTACGGCTAAGGACCAACGAACTACGGGAGACAGTGATAAGACACAATCCGGACATCATCTGCCTCTCAGAAACACTCTATATGACGACAACACAGCTGCCAAGGATAACAAACTACGATGGAGTCGGAAGAAGAGACGAACCTAACAAAAGAGGAGTGGCTATTTATGTTAAAAATAACATAGAATGGAACCAAATAGCCATAGAAACAAACGAATTTGAAAATATAGGAGTCAAAATTGGAACTACTAATATTTTTTCTATTTACAGGAAACAGTCGGATATTCTAGCCATTGAAGAAATAGATGCCATGCTTAATTCAGCACCAACCGTCGTCTTAGCGGGAGATTTCAACGCCAAACATGAAGCCTGGGGATGTAATGCAAATTCAAGAGCTGGTATTGCATTACTAAGATATACTGAAGACAGGAACAAGATGATATTCGCACCAGACGAACCAACAAGAATCAGCCCTCAAAGAGATCACCACAACTCTACGTTGGACTTTTTCATTACAAAAGACGTCATTATGGAAGATGTAAGGGCCTACTTTGAATGCAGTTCGGATCACAAACCAGTTATAGGAAGGATGACATCAAGAATTGACTTGCCAACTATAGAACCAGTGGAAAGATGGAGATGGAAAGATGCAAATTGGCCAAATTATAGAAGACAGCTAAACCAAATAGAGATGAAAAGAGAATTCCAATCAATAGAAGAAGTTGAAGAAAAAATCGAAGAATTAACAAGAAAAATACAACAAGCCATGGAAGACAACATACCAAAATCAATGACGAACAACAAAGGACTAATCATCCCTACGGAACTCCAACTCCACGGACATCATCAAGGACAGAAATAAGGCCAGAAGAGCATTAAAAAGGACAAGAATTCAAGGATTATGGAGATGCACTATCCGAAGAAATAAGAGTAAGACTGAGTAGTCTTACTGAAAACCAGTGGCATAACAACATTAGGAAAGCTGAAGAACAACATGGAAACGTATGAAAAATGCTGAAAGCCAAAAGAAGAGGGAAACAAAAGATGCCACAAATCATCGACAACGAGGGAACACACTTTGAAACTCAAGGAAAAGTGGATGCAATAGCAAGAAGATTAGCAGCTACACATAGACAAAACCAAGACATGTCGGATGCAAGAACAAGACAAGAAGTGGACGACGAATACAACAGAATTAAAAGAAGAAACGAATTCCTAGTAGAAGAAGAAGACTACACCAGCCCATACGAAGTAAGAAAAATCATCAGGAGACTCAAAGGAAGCAGAGCACCAGGACAAGAAGGAATCCACAACATCACCCTCAAGGAACTACCAAAGAAGATTATTGTACAACTATACTACATCTACAAATTTTGCTTGGAAAAAGTACACTTTCCAAGTAACTGGAAACACGCGAAGATAATACCCCTCCTAAAACCCAGGAAAGATGGAAGAAGACCGGAAAATTACAGGCCTATTTCTCTTCTTGAAACAATGGGAAAAATACTGGAAAAAATCATCTTCAAGAGACTAATGAAACATACGGAAAGAAGAAGAATTATTCAAGAAGACCAATTCGGATTTAGAAGAGGAAGAAATTGCGAACTCCAACTAGCAAGGATAATCAGCGATACGAAGATAAAATTAACAGAAAACAAAAAACAGGACTAGTCATACTGGACATAGAAAAAGCGTACGACACGGTTTGGAAAAAGGCACCAATCTTCAAAATGGACAAAGCTAGACTTCCGCACTATTTAATTAACATTTGTGATATTTATTTATCTAATAGCACTTTTCAAGTTTCAGCTGACCAAAAGATGTCAACACTCCAAGAAATCCAGGAAGGAATGCCTCAGGGCAGCATTTTATCTCCATTACTTTACAATATTTTTGTTTCAGATTTACCTACAGATCATAAAACTTCAACAGCCATATATGCAGACGATACAGCAGTGTACGCATCCGGAAAAGACGACAGACAGACCCAGAAACTATTGAAGTCCACGGAGTAGACGAGGAGTCACTTCCTGCCCTACAGTATGTGGAACATAAACCACGTAGGCACAGGCATACCCCCTACGAGAAACCGGCTGGAAAAAGTTATGGGATACTGATGGTCTGGAGGAGGACGAAGTCGTGGAAGTGGAAGGTCCTGTGATGGAAAACGGTACCTACAGAAAAAGAAGATGGCCACCGGAAGCTACTGTGCTGTGTAGTGAATTAAGGTACTGACTTTATTTTAAATTTGCTTTCATATGAATCGTCTCAACTTTTCCATAAATATTTTCAACTTCTAATAAATCATTTCATAAAATATTACCAACCTTCATCTAGGGTCACATTGTTGCAATATATTAATGCTATTGTATTCGTTTCGATATAAATATGTTATATAAAAACATTCTTTTATATAAACATTTTCAACTTATTCTTTTCCTTATATAAACTTTTATTACGATTACATTTGTTGCAACATGCCAACGAAGTTTATGCATCTTAAATATGTTTATAAAAACTCTCTTTTATATAAATATTTTTAACTTCTTCTTTTCTGTACATAAACTTTCGTCTACGGTTAGATTTGTTGCAATATACCAATGTAATTTTATGTATCTTTAAATATGTGGTATAAAAACCTTCTTTTATATGGATATTTTCAACTTATTCTTTTCGTTATATAAACTTTCGTCTACGATAACATTTGTTGTATTATACTAATGAAATTTTTATGTATCCTTATATATAAAAAACGTTGTAAACATTTTTCAACCTGTTCATAAAATTTTTATAAATATTGCCTAACTTTAATAAACTTTCATCCAGGGTTAATTTGTTGTAGTATGCTAATGTAATTGTATTGTATTGTACCTTTTGATATAAATATGTTGTTTTTTTAAATAAACTTCTTTTCCAGCAAAAGAGTCTTCAAAGGGGGCGATGTCATCCTGGTGCCTTTAGTCGCGAACTAATACGCACCCTGATGCGCGTCGCTCCGCCTTTCTACCTTTTATTCTATTTTCTATTGGCCAAGAGGTCCGAAAATCTTATATAAATATTAAATTGTCTTTAAATATGAGATTATGCGGATCTCACGGCAGTCGAAGCTGAGCTTTACTACGGCCCCCCACGTAGGGTGTCCTACACCTACGTGAAAACAGTGTTTTATTTACCTTTCCATCTAATTAAGATGAAAATGCAGGGGCAGCTTCGGACTGACTAACCGAAGCCTTCTGTAGAGCACCTAGAGAGCGGATATGGAGTCGTTTCATATGAAGAGCCTACTCTCTCTATGGTGACATTGCGAGTTTTTATACAAATGCCTTCTACTGAAGACTGGACGACAATCGCACATGATTTCGAGACTAAATGGAATTTCCCGAACTGCATTGGAGCTATTGACGGGAAATATTGCGAGATATTTGCACCTCATAATAGTGGCTTTAACTATTTCAATTATAAAAAGACATTCTCAGTTGTACTACTCGCCCTAGTTGATGCCAACTACAAGTTGATAGCTGTAGATGTTGGGTCCTATGGAAAGAACAGTGATGGAGAGATTTTTTCTAGTTCTAGATTAGGCACAGGATTAAGGATCGCTCAACATTCCGAGTGGCAAGCATTTGCCGGGTACAAATATATCCAGACCGCTTGTAATTTAAGGCGATCAATTTTTTTCACTCAAAACATATTATATGCTAAGACCGTACCTCTCAAATCAGGTACAAGAAGACTCAAGGAAACGGATTTTCAACTATCGTCATTGTAGAGCAAGAAAAACGGTAGAAAACGCTTTTGGTTTATATCCAACGATTCAGAATATATTACCGTAAAATAAACTTACAGCCTGGTTACATAGAAAACATACTCTTGTCTACTTGCATACTGCATAACTACATTTTAGGTCTAGATAACTCGCATTATCGTATTAGACTTATCTCGGAATTTTTGCTGTTTGGTCATAAAAAAGATTGCTGATTATTCGAACATTTCTGTCATCGATGCCAGTGGTTATTAGTTTATCGTGTTTTACTTAAATGCTTTCTGATAGTCAACAATATTTATGTATAAATTACAGTTGACGTATCTACAGCGATGGAATAGGGTAACTGTGTATTTCACTTAAATCTTTCTGCACATCGTCCATATCTCTGAGTTTAGGTTGCACCCTTCTTCTTCTTTCGACCAGCCTATTAAGCATTGTTATTTTTGCAGAATTGTCACGTGGCACGTGGCCCACTCAGCTTAAGATTGATTGATGGTTTTCACGATATCTGTATAACCAAAAAGTCTGTGATGTTCGAAATTATATCGCCTTCTCCACAGACCTTTTTGATTAACTTTGCCATATATG